CACAGTTGCTGCGTGCAACCAGTTCAGCTCAGCTGCTGGGCGTTTTCCTGGACGCATTGGCCCCCTTGGCGCACGGCATCGGGAGAACCATCTACGTGTGCTGATTTGTTGGCCCCCCCTCAATGTGACCAAGCGAGTAAGGGATGCACCGCTGGGAAGTGGACTACTGAAACGATGTGTCTGGCTCGTCGTCGTCCTCGTCTTCGTCGAGGCCGCCAGGCGAGCAGTAACCGTTTGTCGGTGTCAGTGAGACACTGGCTGCTGATGGCGATGACATTTTGGCAGGAGGGCACCGTCTAATATCGAGTGCAAGTGATCAAGTGAGACACTTTGGTACATCTATCCTTCTTGATTCGCGCCTTGCTGACAGAGTCACTCATATCCGTAAGTTTTCTGGCAGGCACCTGTTGGTATACATTGATTACAATGGAAAAATACTTCCGGGTGATCTGCGTCTATGCTCCATACGCTGGGTACCCCAGGGTTGATTTGGACAGTTCCTATGTTGGACTGCGAACTCTGATGTCGGAACCAACTCGGCAGAAGCGGCACGTGCTTCTGATCGGTGATTTTAATGCTATGCTGCATTGTGGCGTTCGTGGGAACCTGCTGTCCAATCTCGTATCGGAAAACGACAGCAAATAGGGACGATATGGATTGGGAGCTTCAGTGGACATTCAAAAACACCTTGGGACATAAGCGTAAGATCGATTACATAGTTTGTTCCTCGGTGAGTTTGTCTGGTTCGGCAGCCACGAACGAGCTCGATTGTGGATCTGACCATCGCGCCGTCTACGCCGCTTTTCTTGTGCCTCTTGCAGGCGCCAGCCGGCGAAAAAATGGATCTTCGACGAAATGGATGGGTTCTCCGACCTACGAGAAACAATTGGAAACCCTCTTGGATGAAGTTGGGGTTTTATCTTGGCATGAACTGCAGGACACCATGAGAACAGCCGCACGCGTTTCCGGTGCAGTCGGGGCCCAAATTCAAGATCGCCAGTAGGACACAGCAGAGCTCAAAGACTTGAGGAAACGACGGAAATATTGCACGGACCGGGAGGGGCGTACTTCTGTGTCAAAGGAAATAGCCAAGAAGACGAGGCAAGCTTTGAGACGCTGGCAGACAGCGGCTGCAAGAGCAGCTCACGAAGTTCCGGGACCTCCACCAGCTTCACAAAATAGCCTCTGAACCCAGGCAGTGCAAGACGTCGGTGAAGCCGAAGCCTGAAGATTTTGCCAGAATGTTTAGGGAATTGTATGCTTCAGACCAGCCTGTGGCAGACGGGGGGAACGCGGTGTTGTTGCGAGAGATAGATCTTTTTACAAGGGACGAGCTAGTCAACGCATTGAATGAAAGTTCTCTCCACAGATAAGTGCGCTGACAAGCACGGCGTGGTTCTAGAGATGCTGGCGCAAGGTGGCATCGCCATCACACACATCTTGTTGCGGAAGTACAACGATGTGCTACAGGGCGGTCGTTTCAACCGAGAGTGGAGTGAGCTTATCTTTGTCATGCTGCCGAAGAGTGGAGACCGAAGGGACGCGTTGAATTAGCGGCCGGTAGCCATCCCCGATGTCGATTATAAAGTATTCGCCAAGATTGTTCACAAGCGCATCCTTCCTTATCTGGACCCGCACATCTCGGATGAACAGATGGGTTTCCGGACAGCTTGCGGAGTCGACGAGGCACTGATGGCCCTAGAATGCATGACCGGGGCACCCTTGGAGTGGCATCTTCCGATTTGGGTGCTGAGCATGGACCTGCGCAAGGCTTTCGACACGCTCGAGCAAGATGCTTTGCTGGGCACGCTGACAGAACGTGGATTGCCAGACAAGTACACAGTCCTGCTGAATTTCATATATTTGGACCAGGTGGGCATTGTCGACGGCACCGCCTTCGCGATCTGCCACGGAGTCAGACAGGGGGACATCTTAAGCCCGCTTCTGTTCAACGCAGCAACCGAAGTAGTCATGCGCCAGTGGAAGATGCGCTTGCGTGCTGAGCATTCGTCCATGTTTCGGGCGGCGCTGCTGACCGGCTGACGACCGTCCGTTTCGCGGACGATCCCATATTGTTTGCGAAGTCGTTGTGCGAGGTCGAAGAGATGCTTGCGCTGCTTGTGGAGGAGTTTGCCAAAGGTGGGCTTGTGGGGAACGCATCCAAAAAGAAGCTTCTGACGACGGATGCCGCAATATCCTCTGGACCAACACCCTTGCTCGTGGACATCGCGGGCATGTTCGTGGAAGTCATCAAGGTAGGTTCTTCCCACAAATATATGGGAAAGTCTTTGCCGGGAGATTCGACTTCGAGGGGGCAGAGAAATATTGATCATCGTCTGTCGTGTGTTTGGATACGGTTCCATGAGTTGTGCCATACCTTGCTCAACCACAAGATTCTGGTCAAATTGCGCCTTCGATCGTTCGACGCTGTCGTCAGTCCAACAGTCCTATACAGTCTATCAGCAGCTCCGTTTACAATATCGCAGTAGGAGAGACTAGACGGAACACAGCGGAATATGATGAGACGCGTTGTGGGTTGGGTGAGACGACGGGGAGGAATTGAATGTCACAGGACGTCGCATGAAAGAACGATTCGATTCTGCGTGGGACAGCATTCGCGTGGCGGTCTGGAGCCGCGCGCTCGGCAAGCAACGGCGAAGCGTGATTGACAAGGTCACACATCGACCGGCAAACGTCGTCTCTCGCGTGTATCATTGGTTGCTCCGGCCAACTGTACTTGGGCAGGTAGCTTACAGGAAGCGTGGCCGTCCGTCAGGCGTGCAGATGGACGGACGGCGTCTGAGTGATGGCATTCACGCGCGCGTGTTCGTGGGTGTGCTGTGGTGTCGTGTGGTTTTGTGTGTTGTTTGGTGTTGTGTGTGTGTGTTGTGCTGTTGGCTGTGTTGTGCTGTGTTGTGGTGTGGTGCGTGTTGTTGTGTGGGTGTGTGTGGCTGCGTGCGTCAGGAAATTTGTGCATACTTTTTTCCTCCCGTGTCCTGTGCAGGGCCGGCCCTGCGGCCGTGCGGGATCAAGTGCTGCCCTGCCCGAGTTGTGTTCCACTGTTTGGTCGCATTGTAATCACCTTTTGTTCTGCCCTCTACTCAGGCCCGAAAGGATAGGTCGACGAAGTCTATGTACATATCCACTGTCAAAGGCCTGGCCCTTCGTGGTTCCATGGGCTGTGTGCGTGCCTTCCTGGCTTGGCTTGGGAAGCATATACAGCGCTCCTGGGCCCAGGATAGGCCACGCGTGTACAGTGGTTATGCACAGATCTCGTCGCCCGGAAGAAGGTGAGGCGTCGAGGCGGGCAGGTGGAGCGGGGGACGAGGAGGAGGTGGCGGAGGAGGAGGACGGAGGGGGAACGAAAGGGGGAGGGAGGAGCGAGGATGAAGGCGCCTCAGGAAGAGGGGGCGAGCGGAAGAGGTAGTAGCATGAAGGGTCGGCGGATTTGGAAGGGTGCGCGGGCTCGCGGTGTTCGAGGGTTCGTACTGCCCGCGGGGCGCGAGGTCAGCGGCTCGAACGGTTGGGCGCGCGGGGAATTTTGGAATGGCGCTTTGATTCGCCGAGGGGGCGGTCAGCTTGGTGCGGCATTCACTGGCTGCTCGCAGAAACGCGCGGTATCCGGCAACAGGGGCGCCAAGGTGTAAATGCTCCGCCCGTCCTGACCCATACCACCCCCCACCCTCATCGCCAGGAGGGAGAGGGAGAGAGGGAGGAGTGCGCCCAGCGTCCCGGCCCCCTGCTTTCGGCACCAACCGCAAAACTTCGTCAGCTGCGTGTCCGTCGGCCCCGTGAGGGCGGGGCGCGCGCTCCGACCGCGGCGGGCGCCCTGTGGCCCGTCCGCTCGGAAGGCGCTATGCTATTAGACCTCATGTGCTCCTGTCGGACGCGCGCGTCCACCAGCAGCACATCGCACCAGTATCTCATGGCCTTCGCCCCGTTCCCGCCGCCGCGCCAGGGCTGCGGTTCAAAAGGCCTCCTGGATGCACACCAGGGTCTTTGGGGAGGCCTCTCCGGGGATCTCTGCAGGGCTTTGGGGGGCTTCTCTGGGGCCTCTCGGAGGCCTCTTGGGGGCCTCGGGCGCCTCTGGGGGTCTCCTTCGGACGTGCGCACCAACATCATCACGCAGTGCCAGTGCAGTCGGGGCGCTGACGAAGGAAACCTTTTCGTTGGGCCCGGGCTCGGTGTTCTCCGACTGCTTAACAGTTTGCCTCAGTTTTTCTCTAGGGCTCCCATGGGAAACCGAAGTTAAATTTCTGGGAAAAACAGGGCCTCGTTCCTTATCTCTGGTTCCGTCGGCCAATGCCCCGACTGTATGTCCGTCTGCGTCCCATACCTTGGCGTCGCGCTACGCACTCTGAGCAGTGTGCCAACCGGGCGAGCAGACCGGCCGCCGCCAGCAGGAGGGGGCGAGGAGGGGGGGGGGAGAAGGGAGCAGAGGAGGCTGGGTGGAGGGAACAAGCTGGGATGGAGGGACGGGGGAGAGCCGCGGACGATGCCGGCAGAGGCGTAAGCATTCGAAGGTGTGTGTGCAGACCTCGTGCATCTGCGCTGGACCCCCCCCCCTGCTTTGATGTGCCTCCCTCGCCGCCCCTGGCACGCCCCGCGCGCCTGGGACGGCGGCCTCGGCGCTGGTCCAGGAAATCCTCTCGGACCTTCGCGGGTTCACGCTTCTGTCTTTTCTCCGTATGGAGAGACGGAAAGGGAGGGGAGGCGGGAGGGGGGTGGGGGGAGGGGGGGAAGGGGGCGGGGAAGGGGGTTGGAAGGACGGGAGTGCGCGGGGGGAGGAGCCGGAGGGGGAGAGCGACGGATGGGAGCAGTGTCAGTGGCGGTAGCAGGGGCAAGGGGGCGATAATGGTAATGAAGGGGAGGAGGTTGCAGATGAGGATGCGGATGATGATGCTCGCGATGACGAGTAGGGGAGGGGACAATGAGAGATCATGGAGCGCGCCCGCTGCTCGAGACTCGGACGGGCGGACGTGGAGGTTTCGGCGCGCGAGGCCAAGCGTCTGAAAGATGGCCTGCTGTGCGCGCTGAAGAAGATCAATATCTTCGACACCATGGCCCCGAAGCAGCGCGAGAAGTGCCTCAAGGAGGCGGGTCCGCAGCACCCCTCGCTGCCAGCCGACTCGGCCGCGTCGGGACGTTGACCGCTCGGCGTTCAACCTCACTCCACGCAGCGTAGCGCAGCCTGCTCTGCGCCAGTGCACACACGCGCAGCCCGTATCGGTCGTTGCTCTCGCTCGCTGTCTTCCGTGCCCGTTGTGGCTCGGGGTGGACTTGTTGAGGTCTTTGCCCACTCACCCGCCCCGGTAGGGTGCCGCATGTTTGCGCGCCCGCGCTGTTGAGCCGCGGGGTGGGCGAGCCCCGAGGGGGATCCAGACGCCATTATCGACGTGTATCGGAGACTGCTGTAATTAGCCAATCACCCCTCGGGCTGGCGGATCTCTCTCTCCCTCTCTCTCTTTCTCTCTCTCTCCCTCTCTTTCGTTCCCTTTCTCTCTCTCGTTCTCCCTCTCTCACTCTTGAGCTCCAGTGCTGTGATCCACGACGGTGATCATCACGAGGTAAACCTCATGCTGGTTCCGCTCAAATCTGTCTGGAACTAGTTCGGCGAGGAGCTCAGTGATGGCAAGGGAATAATATTCTGGAACAACACGAAAGGGATGGTTCGGGGGCGCGAAAGTTTGGAGTAGAGTGGTATTGCGTTATAGTGGTGTGCATTTTGCATGTCCGAGTTGTTGGCGCCTCTCGTTCTTTGTGGTCAGGGGGCCTGCAGACGCGAGATCCTCTGCAACAGGCTTGATCGATGATTTCTGGTGCATGCGGTTTTCTGCGCCCAGAGCGTTAAATCAGACCACGTATACCTTACCGGGATTAGGGAGTCTCGGGAATCGGGCTGCCTGCTTGAGATCGGTTTGACACGTGTGTGGGAATGCCGTTGTGTCCCTGAGGCTCCCGTATGTTGAGTCTGGGTTGGAGGTCACGTTCTGAGGCGACTGGAGTTCAGATAAGCATTTCTGGACCACGGTGGTGTCACAGATGGTTCGGGAATGGCTCCATTTCGCCAGAGTCACGGCGTCGCTGTTGAGGACCTTGTCAACTTGGAGACGACAGTAATCCAGTTCGATGTGGACGGTTTCCCCCGGGGCCGTAGGCGAAACGAGGAGGGGAGGGCGAGGAGGGGGAGGAGGAGGAGAAGGAGGAGGAGGAGGAGGAGGAGGAGCAGGAGAGGAGGAGGAGGAGGAGAAGGAGGGGGCGGAGGAGGGGGCGGAGGAGGTGGAGGAGGAGGAGGAGGAGGAGGAGGAGGAGGAGAGGAGGAGGAGGAGGAGAGGGAGGAGGAGAGGAGGAGGAGGAGGAGGAGGGAGGGGGAGGAGGAGGAGGAGGAGAAGGAGGAGAGTGGAGAGAGGAGGAGGAAGGAGGAGGACGGGCCGCCTAAGCCCTTCGGAGAAACCCTCCAGCTCGAGGTGTGTGGGGGCCTTTTTGAGGTCCTATCCAGACAGCAGCGTGCGCAGAACGTGTCGCCCTCCTTCACGCGTTTCGATCTCTGCCGAGATATTCGGCTGTGGTAACCGATATTTCCCAACCATCCTGTGGTGTTGGGTCCTCGTTTTGAAGAGACGTCGCCCCGCGTTCCTTCCTCCTCCTCCTCCTTCCTCCTCCTCCCCTTCCTCCCCCCTCCTCCCCCTCCCACACCCATTCTGGCACACCCCTCACACGTTTCGTGGCCCCATAGGGAGCTCCACCGAAGGCCCCAGTGGCTGCGCCCGCATGCGGTTCCACCCCCCACTCTGGCACACCCCTCACACGTTTCGTGGCCCCATAGGGAGCTCCACCGAAGGCCCCAGTGGCTGCGCCCGCATGCGGTTCCACCCCCCATTCTGGCACACCCCTCACACGTTCGTGGCCCCATAGGGAGCTCCACCGAAGGCCCCAGTGGCTGCGCCCGCATGCGGTTCCACCCCCCATTCTGGCACACCCCTCACACGTTTCGTGGCCCCATAGGGAGCTCCACCGAAGGCCCCAGTGGCTGCGCCCGCATGCGGTTCCACCCCCCATTCTGGCACACCCCTCACACGTTTCGTGGCCCCATAGGGAGCTCCACCGAAGGCCCCAGTGGCTGCGCCCGCATGCGGTTCCACCCCCCATTCTGGCACACCCCTCACACGTTTCGTGGCCCCATAGGGAGCTCCACCGAAGGCCCCAGTGGCTGCGCCCGCATGCGGTTCCACCCCCCATTCTGGCACACCCCTCACACGTTTCGTGGCCCCATAGGGAGCTCCACCGAAGGCCCCAGTGGCTGCGCCCGCATGCGGTTCCACCCCCCATTCTGGCACACCCCTCACACGTTTCGTGGCCCCATAGGGAGCTCCACCGAAGGCCCCAGTGGCTGCGCCCGCATGCGGTTCCACCCCCCATTCTGGCACACCCCTCACACGTTTCGTGGCCCCATAGGGAGCTCCACCGAAGGCCCCAGTGGCTGCGCCCGCATGCGGTTCCACCCCCCATTCTGGCACACCCCTCACACGTTTCGTGGCCCCATAGGGAGCTCCACCGAAGGCCCCAGTGGCTGCGCCCGCATGCGGTTCCACCCCCCATTCTGGCACACCCCTCACACGTTTCGTGGCCCCATAGGGAGCTCCACCGAAGGCCCCAGTGGCTGCGCCCGCATGCGGTTCCACCCCCCATTTCTGGCACACCCCTCACACGTTTCGTGGCCCCATAGGGAGCTCCACCGAAGGCCCCAGTGGCTGCGCCCGCATGCGGTTCCACCCCCCATTCTGGCACACCCCTCACACGTTTCGTGGCCCCATAGGGAGCTCCACCGAAGGCCCCAGTGGCTGCGCCCGCATGCGGTTCCACCCCCCATTCTGGCACACCCCTCACACGTTTCGTGGCCCCATAGGGAGCTCCACCGAAGGCCCCAGTGGCTGCGCCCGCATGCGGTTCCACCCCCCATTCTGGCACACCCCTCACACGTTTCGTGGCCCCATAGGGAGCTCCACCGAAGGCTCCAGTGGCTGCGCTCGCATGCGGTTCCACCCCCCATTTCGGCACACCCCTCACACGCTTCGTGGGTGGCTCCATGGGGAGCTCCACCGAACGCCCCAGTGGCTGCGCTCGCATGTGGTTCCCCCTTCCCATTTCGGCACACCCCTCACACGTTTCGTGGCCCCATAGGGAGCTCCACCGAAGGCCCCAGTGGCTGCGCTCGCATGCGGTTCCACCCCCTTTTTCGGCACGCCCCTCACACGTTTCGTGGCTCCATAGGGAGCTCCACCGAAGGCCCCAGTGGCTGCGCTGGCATGCGGTTCCACACCCCATTCTGGCACACCCCTCGCACGTTTCGTGGCCCCATAGGGGGCTCCACCAAAGGTCCCAGTGGCACTGCCCGCTTGCGTCCGCCACCACCCAGCACAGCCCTTGTTCCCTGCGCTTCACCCACCCAGAACAGCGCTTCGTAGCCCTATAGGGAGCTCCACCAAAGGTCCCAGCGGCACCGCCCGCATGCGTCCGCCACCACCCTGCACAGCCCTTGCTCCCTGCCTGCGTTTCACCCACCCAGTACAGCGTTTCGTGGCCCCATAGGGAGCTCCACCGAAGGTCCCAGTGGCACCGCTCGCATGCGTCCGCCACCACGCAGCACAGCCCTTGCTGACCGCGTCTCACCCACCCAGTACAGCGTTTCGTGGCCCCATAGGGAGCTCCACCGAAGGTCCCAGTGGCACCGCCCGCATGCGTCCGCCACCACCCAGCACAATTGCGGCATTCACAACTGCATATGGTTGGGTCCTTCGCCAGGCTAATTTGAGAATTGCAGGCTGAGGGCAACGACTGGTTGCACATGCCGACGCCCAAGTCAGCTACGCCGACATCTGGCGATCGATTTCATGTGTGGCCTGCGAGCGATATCGCCACGGCTTCTGCCGGTGTCCTGCACACTCGACGGTTGACACGTTCTTCGCGTTGGATCATCATTCTTGGGAGTTTTTCTTGGTATATGTTTGGGTGTATTACTTCGCCATGAGAGGGGCGCTCGGACAGGCTGTTCCGGGTCAAACAAAATGAGGTGCTTCTCTCCGATGCTGCGTTCCAGGCCAGGTGCGCTTCTGAAATCGCGTCTTGGGATGGTGCGCGCACGTGCCGCAATAATCTTGTTCGGGCTCCCGGGATCCCTGGACCTGTACCTATCATTGCTCACGAGATGGTGGTTCGGTCGTCGGCGAGCGAGGGGGGAGTGAGATGGAGAAGGCCTTCTCAGAAGGCGGCGGGGCTTCTCATAAGCCCTCGCGCCTTCTGATGGGTTTTCTGCGTCCTCGGGAAGGCTTCGAAGACTTCTCGGAAGGCCCGGGGATTCCCGAGCTTTCCGAGCAGGCCCACCCCTTCTTCGGGTGTTGCTAGAAGTACCCTTGGCCCAAAGGTGCCCCGAGGATTCTCGGGGTTGCTCAGACGGCCTTCAGGGCATTTTTCACGAGGTCTAGAGGGCCCCAGGGGCTTCCCAAATGGAGCGAAACGCTGGGGGCACCTTGGGCCAGGGGCATCTTGAGCAACTCCCGACTTCTTTCAAGCAGTGGCGAGGCGTCCTGGCTCGCCTACAGGCCCACCAAAGAATGTTCAGAGAACCCCTTGTGGTCTGCAAGAATGATCTTACAACATTTCTGGCTGAGACTGTCTTGTTTATGCGCATCGTGATTATGTTCTAAGAACATTTCTTTTGTTCTTGGAACCTTTTTGGGTTCTAAGCAAATTTCGTGGTAGGCCTATAGAAATGCCGGGACGGTCGGTCCCTGCTCAACACAGATGTCTTACGTGGCTGAATTGTTTGTGGGGAGATACTGAACAGAGTAGCGATGATTGCGAGGCACTTGCATGCGCCGCCCCTCCAATGTCAGTCATCATCGAACTTCCGAGTCGTTCCCGGTCAGACTACCTTTGTGTTGGCCCCGCCATTGGAGGGGCGTCTATCGACATTGAAGGGCGCGCCGACATCGCAGGGGCGTGTTCGCCATTTTTGAGGTTAATTTTGAAGAGGGTAGTACGTCGCGCAGCAAGCTATGAGCCCAGACCCCCTCGCGCTGGGAACGAACACCACGACGAGAGGTTTTGCGCTGTTTTGGGCCTCCAGGGGCCCTCAATTACCGGGCCTCGGGACCGTCCAAAAGCGACCCAGGACGAGAAACGGGTCAAGGGGAAGGGGTCCCCGACCTCTGGGGAACAACGTCGTGACAAAGTCACGACGTCCGGGGTCTGGGAGCGTGGCTCGAACTCCGCTTGGCGCGAGGAAACGTGAGACTCGAGTACCCATCGGTCGTTGAAAGTAGGTATTTTTGGATTCCCAGATTCCAATCTACTTCCTCTTCCTTCCTCTTCAGGAGGCGGGCGGAAACCCAATCAATTTCCAACGCCTTCCTACTTTATGTTTCTGCCTACTTCTTCCGACCGAAGGGTACGCCTGAATTCGGGCTGGCCTACGCTTTCTGACGCGAGCGCGTCCTGGATTTTGACGGTCCAGTTGTCCGTGAGATGTCTGCAGCGGGAGATCGCGTCAAATTTCAGATTGGGTCTCGTCACTTTCACGATGGCCTCGCCAGGCCAACCCGAGTCCCCCGAACCCGACTCTTGCGTCGCCCCGACTGGTGGCTGGTGAGGAGGTCGCGCTCAATGGGCACGACATCATGGTGGCCCACGGGTCTCTCGTGTGCGTCCTGTGTCGGTCCTACATGGTTGCTTGTGGGCGGGCTGTCCAGTGTAAGCTCAAAGGTAAGGCCTGCAACGGCCCCACCGAGGCTTCCGCCGTCATGGGCAGCCAACGTTCTTACTTTGTGGTCATCCGTTCAGGGAAGCACCCGCGAACGGGTACACGCTGGTCGTCGAATGTAGGTGTTTCGGGATCCCCAGATCCGAATGTACTGCAACCGCCTTCCTACTTTCAGAGTCAGCATACTTCTGCTGTGTGCTCTTCTTCCCTGGGAGGGCCTGAACCCAATTCTAGACGCTTCGCGTATCCCCACCAGCCCGTCCAGAAACGACGCCCAGGCGAGTAGAGGGTCGTCCTGAGGGGCTTTTCGGCGTCTTGGGTGCCTCGGGGGGGCCTCTTTGGGCCGTTTGGGATCCTCTTGGGGGCCTCCTGGGGGCCTCTTGGGGCCATCTTGGGGCCATCTTGGGGCCTCTTGGTGCCTCCTGGGCGCTTCTTGGGGCCATCTTGGAGGAAATCGATCAAAGAAGAGGAGCTTCAATTAGTGCTGCCCCCTCTCGGGGCCAAAATGGGGCCAAAACCTTAGTAAAATCAATGATTTTGGCTTCCTCGGCGAGGCCGTTTTGGACGCTCTGACCGCTCCCCGCCCCCCCTTGTCCAGGTCAGTGGGGAGGGGGTAGGGGGAGGGGTAAACCCCTCCCCGAAGGGGCAGAAGGAGGGGTGGAAGAGGAAACGCTCTAAACCACCGACGCCCAGAGGGCTGGTGGGATCTACTTGATTCGCCTTCCCGTTACCTACTTCTTCCGACCGATGGGTAAACTTGCAGAATGTGTTGGTCTGCCTTGTCCGCCCCAGGGCCTGCGTGCCAGGCGTTTGCTGTGATCCGTGGGCCCCATGTTGGCCCGTGCTCTCGCCCCTCGGCTGCGCGACTTGGTCGCACTTGCGTTCCGCTCCTTCCATCTCTCTCTAATCTTTCTCTCTCCCGCCCTCTCTCCCTCTCTGATCTTTTGTTGTTATCCCTTTCTCTCTCTCTCTCTCTCTCTCTCTTTCTCTCTCTCTTTTTATGTGTGCTAATGTATACGTTGATTTGTAGATATGTTTTGTGCACATGTACACATGTAGGTGTGTCTATATATCAATCAATCAATCAATCAATCACTAGCTGTACACATACACATATACATATATGTATACATGCGAATATTCACATTTTCCCTCCGTCACCAATTCTGTGTATTGCCCACCTACGTCTACATACCTTTATTTTTTCTCCACCCCAGACGTTTTGTGCCTGTCCCTTCACTTCCAGGTGCGCCTGCTGGAGTCGCTCGACCACCCCAGCATCGTGAAGCTCCTCTGCTCCATCGTCGACAGCAACGAGCTGCTCATCATCGTGGAGTGGGCAGAAAAGGCGGGCCCGTGCGGCGGAAGGGCGATCGCCTCGCTCCTCGCGTGTCGTCTTCGCCCACCCCCTCCCGCACCCCGACCTCCTGCGAGATGCTCGAGCGCCTTCCGCCGGCGGTTGTTCGCCAGGCCCGGCCTCGGGGGGCCGCCGCGGGGCCCCCGGGGAGTTCGAACACGGCATGCGGTGAACCGCCGGCCCGGCCGGGGGAAAGCAGGACTCGAGCCAGACGATGTTCTTGCGATCTCGTGGACCAAAACGACGCGAAGATCGGGACAAAATCGGATCGGGATAACTCGAAATCTCTGAGAATCGGCGGGTTTGGAGGATGTATTGGGCGCCGCGGCCGCTCCAGAGCGTTCCGGAACGCTCTGAGAGCGCTCCGGAACGCTCTGGAGCGATTTATCCCGATCCTAGCCCTGTTTTATGGACCGTCTTCGTTGCGACTCCTAGTTCGCAGCGAGGGGCGGAACGGCCACGAAACGATGGACAGCGAGTCGACAAAGGAGACGGAGAGCCTGATTTAGGCCGAGCCTTGGTCTAATGGCGCCAACATCGCAGAGCGGATTTCGTTCGGAAACACCGGGATGGACCCCGATTGTCCTGGAGAATTTCGCTCCGGATTTCGAAGTGAATTTCGTGCGGATTGTGTTTGTCCAGGAAGGAGAACTAAAATCCATCCACGTGAGATTCACGTCGTTTTTCGCTCGCCGTTTCGGGCTTCTGCATCGACAGGAGTTCACGCAAAAATCCGCCACGGCACGTCTGCGAGGTCGGTGCAGTGATTGGCCGAGAGGTCCCAGCGCGGGTGACTCAGCAACAAAAAACATTTCGCTGGAGGTCTGGGCGCTGGCCCTGGCACAACCCCACCGCTGCTGCTGCTGCTGCTGCCCACGCCGCTGCTGCTCTCGCTGGCACGGCTCACTCCCCTGGTCCTCCTCGTCGTCGTCGTCCTCCTCCTCCTCCTCCTCCTCCTGCTCGAGGATCCTCCTCGTCCTCCTCCTCCTCGTCCTCCTCCTCCTCCTCGTCCTCCTCGCTGCCGCTGTTGTCCCCGTCCTCCTCCTCGTCCTCCTCGCGCTGCCGTGGCTCATTCCCCTCTTGTCTTGAGCTGGGCACGTCCCTCTACAGGAGGAATCTTAAAACATAGGAGGAGGAGGAGGAGGAGGAGGAGGAGGAGGAGGAGGAGGAGGAGGAGGAGACAATAGTCTGGGGACTGTGCTTCGACTATGCTTCAACACCTCTGAGCACTTCTGGGGCTCTTTTCCCCCCCCCTTCCCGAGTCCGCCTGCAGGAGCATACATGCCCGACCTGACTCCTGCCCTCGTCCTCCCGATCCTCCTCTGGCCCTGTGGGGCGACGAGGGGTCGGCGATGCCGCCCACAGCGGGTACAGGGGTCGCTTCGGCCCGCTCTCTGGAATGCCGCTGCGTGCTTTCGCTATTCGCTTTCCGGCGCTGGCTTTTGGCCCGCTGGCAGTTATCTTGCGCGCCTTCCCATGCTCGATGCGACCCGCTCTCTGGAATCGTCCTTGGAGCCGCAGATCAAACATTACGGAGAGAGGGGGCGCCAAGACGCCTGCCCGTCGTGGGCAGGGCTCGCCGTCCTCTGCCGCGCCGCGGGCGCCGCCCGCTCGAGGCGGCGAGCCTCCCTCGGGCGAGGAGGAGCACGAGGAGGAGGAGGAGGAGGAGGAGGACGACGAGGAGGAGGAGGAGGAGGAGGGAGGAGGAGGAGGAGGGAGGAGGAGGAGGAGGAGGAGGAGGAGGGAGGAGGGCGCCCCGCTGCCTCGCCCTCGCGGCAGCCGCAGCAGCAGCAGCCGATGGCACGGGCGGGCAGGCGGCCCGCACAGTGAGCACGAGCAGCTTCCCAAGGCTACCCGAGATTTCGACAAAGAAGACGGAGAACCTGATTTAGGCCGAGCCTTGGTCTCATGGCGCCAACATCGCAGAGCGGAGTTCGTTCGGAAACACCGGGATGGACCCCGATTGTCCTGGAGAATTTCGCTCCGGATTTCGAAGTGAATTTCGTGCGGATTGTGTTTGTCCAGGAAGGAGAACTAAAATCCATCCACGTGAGATTCACGTCGTTTTTCGCTCGCCGTTTCGGGTTTCTGCATCGACAGGAGTTCACGCGAAAATCCGCCACGGCACGTCTGCGAGGTCGGTGCAGTGATTGGCCGAGAGGTCCCAGCGCGGGTGACTCAGCAACAAAAAACATGTCGCTGGAGGTCTGGGCGCTGGCCCTGGCACAACCCCACCGCTGCTGCTGCTGCTGCTGCTGCCCACGCCGCTGCTGCTCTCGCTGGCACGGCTCACTCCCCTGGTCCTCCTCGTCGTCGTCGTCCTCCTCCTCCTCCTGCTCGAGGATCCTCCTCGTCCTCCTCCTCCTCCTCGTCCTCCTCCTCCTCCTCGTCCTCCTCGCTGCCGCTGTTGTCCCCGGAGGAGGAGGAGGAGGAGGAGGAGGAGGAGGAGACAATAGTCTGGGGACTGTGCTTCGACTATGCTTCAGCACCTCTGAGCACTTCTGGGGCTCTTTTCCCCCCTCCCTTCCCGAGTCCGCCTGCAGGAGCACATGCCCGACCTGACTCCTGCCCTCGTCCTCCCGATCCTCCTCCGCTGGCCCTGGGGGGCGACGAGGGGTCGGCGATGCCGCCCACAGTGGGTACAGGGGTCGGTTCGGCCCGCTCTCTGGAATGCCGCTGCGTGCTTTCGCTATTTGCTTTCCGGCGTTGGCTTTTGGCCCGCTGGCAATTATCTTGCGCGCCTTCCCATACTCGATACGACCCGCTCTCTGGAATCGTCCTTGGAGCCGCAGATCAAAAATTACAGAGAGAGGGGGCGCCAAGACTCCTGCCCGTCGTGGGCAGGGCTCGCCGTCCTTTGCCGCCGGGGCCCCGAAGAAGGAGCCCTTTTCGTTGGGGAGGGGCTCCGCGTTCCTTAGGTGTTTCGCAGCTTGCCTCTGGTTTTTCCTTATGTTTTCGATCGGAAATCGAAGTTTAACTTATGGAAAAAAAAGGGGCCTCGTTCCGTATGTTGGGCTCCTTTGGTCAAGGCTCCGACTGTACATCGTGCGCCCTTCCTCTGCGGGCTGACTGCAGAGCACGAGCGGGCAGGTTGTCGCACTGGGGCCGCTCCGCTCCGCCCGCCGGCGACGTCCTCCCGGCGGCGAGCCCGCGGGGGGAGCGAAAAGGGGAGGCTTTCTCAGAGGGTTCGGAAGTTCCGCTCGCCGGCGACGTCCTCTCGGCGGCGAGCCCTGGGGGGAAGCGAGAAGGGGAGGTTTTCTCGGAGGGCTCGGAAGTCCCCAGGCCTTTTGAGAAGTGTTCCGAGCCTTCCCCGGAGACGCAGACAAACACTTCTCGGGGGGCGCGAGGGTTTCTGAGGAGTCCCGCCGCCTTCTGAGAAGGCCTTCCCCTGCTCGCTTCCCCCCCTCGTTCGCCGCCGATTGAGCTGCCGCTGTCTCCACTCGCCCTAGTCCGAGCAGGGGGAAGGGGAGGAGGAGGAGGAGGAGGAGGAGGAGGAGGAGGAGGAGGAGGAGGGAAGGAGGGATGGGGAGGAGGAGGAGGAAAAGGAGGAGGAGGAGGAGGAGGAGGAGGAGGAGGAGAGGAGGAGGAGAGGAGGAGGAGGAGAGAGTAGAGCTCGACGTCCTCGACGTCGCCCTCCCGCCAGGTGCCCCCCCCCCCCCTTGCCGAGCCTGAGCTCGAGCCTGAGGCCCCTCCCCCGAGGGCCGCGGAGGCAGGTGCGCGCCTCGCGCGCCGCTGGCTCCGCCGCTTCGGAGGAGAGGCTGGGGGAGCGAGACGGGGAGGCGCAGCGGAGGGGCGGCACTTTTTGGTCGGCGGGTCGGGAGCGGGCCCCTTCCGGTTCAGAGCTAGGCGGGGCGCGCGAAGCCCTAATTGGGGAGACTGGGCGTGGGCGGGCGGGGCCTCAGGCGGCCGGAGGGTGCAGAGCACAGGCGGTGCCGAAGATCTTGCACAGAACAAGGTACGCCATGGACAGGAGCGGGGGGCGAAGTCCCAGAGGGAGAGTGGATTGGTGTTGCCGTCACGGAGGGGCGATACATGGGAGGGCGAAGACGGGTGCACCCTGCGGGGGCTTCCGGGCCCCCCTTGGGGCCCCAAAGTGGCACCACAGGTGCGCGTTTCCTCACCGCCGCGGGTTCATCCATCGCCCCCCACGAGGCAGCGCCCCCAAGTGGGGGGCACGCTCTGGGGCGGGGCAGTCCCCGTTTTTTTTTTTTGTTGGGGGAGGGCGCTCCTCGAGCCACAGGGAGCCAGCCCGAGCACCCCCCGCGGCCGCGAAGGAGGCAGCGAGCACCGCGGGTTGCCGTCGTCGGGCGCCCTGAGCGGCGCGACCCCCCCTCCCGGCTGTGCTTCATTGCTGGCGACGCCCCAGCGGCAGAAAGGGCGTCCATCGCGGGCCACCACTTTGACGAACCAACAACACACACCCATATCCATGGTGGGATCGGAGAGGGCCATGTGTACGTGTTGTCGGATGGGGGTCCCCGCTCGAACGGGAGCGTTCCCCAACGTCCGACAACCCGCACCCATACCCATAGCCAGTCCGCCTCCCAAGGACCCCCCTATGGGTATGGGTGCGTGTTGTTCGTTCGTCACACTTCGTGCGCATGGGGTATTGGGGGGGGGGGGGGCGCCTGCCGCTCAAGGGGATATCCCGAGCAGCCCGGCCGGCGGTGCAAGGGGTGGCGTGACCCCTTTGTGGAGGTGGTTCTCTGGTCCAACAGTGACGAAGCGTCAGCCAACAACATCATGTTACAATTACCTTTTGTTGTCTGAGCGGAATGCTCTTGGAACTCTTCTGGCTGAGACAGCCTTGGTGTAATACAGAGGTTTGATGTTCATTAGTTTCGGTGTTAGAACACCCGTTGGTTCTAAGAACCCTTCTTTTGTGGTAGGCCTACACAGTCGGTTCCGGCTCAATTCAAGCCAAGGGACCAGCCCAAACAACCTCCTTGGCCCAAGCCCGTGTCGCCCCGGAGGGCGAACCCCGTCAACAGGAGCATATTTGCGACCACCGCGAGTCCCCATACCATTCTGCGCATGCACGGGGTGGTTACCCTGTTTTGGAGGGTTCTCCGTGCCAAGGAAAGGGCCCCGGCAACCACCAGCTCATCGAAAGTGCCGCCATAGTTGAGGGCGGACAGCTTCCTGTTGAGGTCCCCTGAGTCCGACGTATGGCCGTCTCGAAGTATTCCCACCCGTAGGAGTGCTCACCGAAAGTTCGCTGTGGCCCCCAGGTGGATCTCCAAGCGGGGTGGCCAGGCTGTTGGCTGAACCGTTAGGAGCGGGTAGTAGGGGTGCCAGTACACACGCGCGACGGAGAAGGGGAATGGTTGGCCCCTCCTAGTCCAAGCCTTCCCACCCGACCCTGGTTGGGAAGTAGGACCTCTTCCACATGCCGTTCCTCCTGGCCCGCTGGCCGAGCAGTGTGTTCAAAGCTCTTGGCTCGTACAGTGGCACCTGGCCCGCATAGGGCGGCAAGGTTGTCCTTGCCTGCCATCTCGGGAGGCCCACATTTCGGTCCCCTGCGTGGTCATACAGTTTTAGGGCGTGCGTACGGTGGATACGGTGTTCGCCCACTTGCACCTCCCGTGCCTTGAGGTCTGGGGCGTGCACCGCGCGGCAGGGAGGAGGAGGAGGAGGAGGAGGAGGAGGAGGAGGAGGAGGGAGGCGGAGGGGAGGCGGAGGCGGAGGAGGAGGAGGAGGAGGAGGAGGAGGAGGAGGAGGAGAGGAGGAGGGATGGGGAGAGGGAGGGGAGGCGGAGGAGGAGGAGGAGGAGGAGGAGGAGGAGGAGGAGGAAGAACAGCGGGCCATGACACTTGCAGGGAGGAGGGAAGAGGGAGGAGGGTGGAGGGAGGCGGAGGAGGAGGCGGAGGAGGAGGCGGAGGAGGAGGAGGAGGAGGAGGAGGAAGGACGACGGCGCGTCTTCCCACCTGCGCGCAAAAGTGCCGCAGAGCGGCATATTTCAAGCATGCGAGGGGCCGCCAGACAGGAATGCCCGAGGCGGCAAGCTCGACATCACCCTCCTCCTCTACCGGACGAGCAGCTGCTTCGCATGAGCTGCTTCCGCCCTCAGGGGGGCGCCCGTCCTGGGGCGGCCGCGGTCGGGTTAAACCACCTCGCGCCGCCGTGGGGCCAGAACGTTCCAGGCTGCCCCGTGGCAGGCGTCCCCGATTGTGGTTCGTCCGCTGAACCCTCGCACTTAACAACAATTACACTGGAGAAACACCCCAATCAGTAGATGGTTTGAAATCGGATCGATAAAGGGATCGATAAGGAGATCGACAGGAAACCCGGGAACCCAGAACCCACCGAAATCGGACCGGAACCAATGACCAGGAACCCGGGAACCGGGAAGCGGGAACCCAGCCAGCCACCAAAGTCGGCGGGACATGTTCGCCAAATCTTTCAATTTCCGCTATGACCCCTTTAGTGCAAGCACTGATCGGGGAACAAAAGCATGAGACACATGATAAGGGTCTCGACGTCCGCCCTGCCAGCCAGCCGGCCAGGGGGACTTGAAGCGGCTGATCCGCAAGATGCTGCAGAACGAAAGCCGCTTCTCGGAGCGGGAGTGCTGGGAGTACAGCAGGCGGGGTGGATGGGGATGATGATGATCAGTATCATGATCAGCATAATGATGATGGGTGATGATTATGTTGATTATGATGATGACGACGGTGATGATGATGATGATGATGATGATGATGATGATGATGTTGATGATGCTGATGATGATGATATTGATGCTGATGATTATGATGATTATGATCACGATGATGATGGTGATGATGATGACTTCGGTGATGATGATGATGGTGATGTTGATGATGGTGATGGTGATGGTGATGATGATGATGCTGATGCTGATGATGGTGATGGTGATGATGATGACGATGATGATGATGCTGCTGCTGATGATGTGGGTACGATGACGACGATGGCGGTGACGATGGTGACGACGATCGAATAAGCCGAATTTGCACGGACATTGCATTTTAGAGGTCCGGGCCGCACGAAAGGGTAAGATGGGAAAAGGGGGGATACGACATCTGCTGCGTGCAGCTTGTTATTTCCGCCCCGCCGCCGGACCCACTCCTCGATGCACAGGCGCTTCCCGGTGCCGGGAGGCCCCAGGAAAGACAGCCACGCGAGCTTTGCTGTCCTACCCTTTTGTCGATCTCTTGGCCATCCTAGCCTACCCCGCGCTGTCCTACAGTGAGCGGCTTGAATAAGGAACACTTACTTTTCAAAAGGGGCTCGGTCGTTCCTTAGGCTTGCATGCGTTATTTACTGTTCCTTATGCGTTCTTTGTTATTCATCGCCCCTTACGCGTTATTCCTTGGGATAAAAAAAGAGGCCTCGTTCCTGATTGATCGTTCCTTAGGTCAGGCCGATGACTGCATCCTCTGCCATCCTCTCCGCCCTTTCGTCCTCCCCGAGATGCCCGTGCGGATCTCCACTGGTCGGCGCGCGCGACGCCCCCCCGGCGCGCTACGCGCGCCGGGGGGAGGGGGGGGGGCGGGCCCGGCCGCCGCCCCGAGGGACCTCTTGCGGACCGCCCTCGGTAGGGGGAAAAACACACAGACACCATGGATCGTCGATTCCCAGGAGAGTGTGGAAAAATATGGGAAGTGGGGGGGGAGACAAAAACACAGAAAATAGAAGGAACATGTGGGGGATCCTTTTATTTGTGTGTGTATTTGTTTGCGTGTCTCAGGGCCCCTTCACTCTCCAGGTTCACGCTCGTGCCGAGGCTCGTCCGTGTGCGGTCGAGAAGAGGTACAACAAGGCCGAGGGCGGTTCGGGGAAGATGCGTACCCTCATGCTCTTCGTGCCTGCTGGATGCGCTTGCCTGAGCTGGGGGAGTGCGCCCTCGAGTGATCTGATGGTCTGGGGTGTGCTGGCCGGCGGAGGGTCTCGCGGTTTTGAAGGATGTTCTGCCCTCCCAGGTACGGCTGTCAACCATCGTGATGGGGAGAAAGAAGTTGGTTTCCCAGTGTTTCCCTGGCGCTGCCTTCCTCTTGCACGCTGGACAGTTCGCATTTCGGTTGCCCCGATTAGGCCACACGCTGGAGCGGATTGCCTCTGCCTCGCCGCCGACCAAAAAAAGATTCCCTGGCGCGCTTCGCGTGCTGGGGGAGGGGGCCACCCACCTGCCGTTGGGCAGCTGCGTGAGGCCTCGGCCGGCGCGTAGCTGTTGCCTCGCGCGTCGCCTCTGCTTTAATTTTCTCGCGCTTCCTTTGCCTAACTAGTCTCTGCGTAGCCCACTTTGACCTGACTCGCCGCCGGCGCGCTCGCCCGCGGCCGCTGACTAAAAAAATGCCAGGGGAGGGGGGATCCAGCGCCGATCCCAGTGACCCTTCGCGGACCTCTCCGGTCTCGTGCGCGTATGCCGGTGCTCGTTCTGGTGCACGTCGGCGGGGAGCTGAGCGAGGAGTGGTGAAGCGAGGGGGGAGAAGTCTTCGGGCGAAGAGAACTATGCACATGCACCGATCCTGGCAAGGCCCATCCTTGACCCAGGATCGGTGCATATACCTTCCTGGCCAAGGTAGGAGGGCGTATGCACCGATCCTGGGCTCAGGGTTGGGCCTGGCCAGAATCGGTGCATGTGCATAGTTCTCTTTCCTCTAAGTCTCGGGCTCCCGAGTTTTGAGGTCTTGTCGGGCGTTCCCCGTCGGCCCTCGGCAGTTTCCCAGCCTCGGGGTGCGTTCCAGCGGCTGCGCCTCGCCGAGGGTGTTGTCCGGGGGGGTGCCCAGGTCGCCCCAGGCGGCCACGGAGAGCCGCCGAGGCATGGCCCAGCGACGACCACCGGGCGTCCGCGAGCGAGGAGGCCCTCTCGGAAGGCGGCGGGGCTCCTCGAAAGCGCCCCTCCTCCTCCTCCTCCTCCTCCTCCACCTCCTCCTCCTCCTCCTCCTCCTCCTCTCTCCTCCTGCTCCTCTCCTCCTCCTCCTCCCCCTCCTTCTCCTCCTCCTCCTCCGCCTCCTCCTCCTCCTCCTCCTCCCACCTCCTCCTCCCTCCTCCTCCTCCTCCTCCTCCTCCTGCTGCTCCCTCCTCCTCCTCCTCCCCCTCCTTCTTCCCTCCTCCTCCCCCTCCTCCTCCTCCTCCTCCTCCTCCTCCTCCTCACTCCTCCGCCTCCTCCTCCTCCTCCTCCTCCTCCTCCTCCTCCTGCTCCTCCTCCTCCTCCTCCTCCCCCTCCTTCTCCTCCTCCTCCTCCTCCTCCTCCTCCTCCCTCCACCTCCTCCTCCTCCTCCTCCTCCTCCTCCTCCTCCTCCTCCTCCTGCTCCTCCTCCTCCTCCTCCTCCTCCCCCTCCTCCTCCTCCTCCTCTCCTCCTCCTCCTCCTCTCCTCCTCCACCTCCCCCTCCTCCTCCTCCTCCTCCTCCTCCTGTTTCCTCCTCCTCCTCCTCCTCCTCCCCTCCTTCTCCTCCTCCTCCTCCTCCTCCTCCTCCTCCTCCTCCTCCTCCTCCTCCTCCTCCCGGGAAGGCTTGGAAACTTTCTGAAGGCTCAGGGCGGGATTCCGAGCCTTCTGAGAAGGCCCGCCCTTTCCCACTTCCTGTTTCGCTCGCCGTCGAACATGATCATGGCGAGGAGAAGGAAGTTGTTTTCCTTCTGTTTTCTGACGGTCTCGCATGCTTCGATGAATTCCTCTGCTGAGGCTCGGTGGCGAAGGGATTGCAATGCGGTGGTGCTGCTACGCAGATCGACAACCCAGTGTGCCACGTCGAGAGAGGGGTGAGTGGTCGGAATGGAAAGGGGGAGTTCAGCAATATGTTTTTGGGGATTCTGGCCATCTGTGCTCGAATGATGCCAGTGCCAGCTTGCCCGAGTGGTCAAAAGCAGGCGACCTTGTGAGTACCGCGTGCTGTCAGGTATCTTGACGCTGCCCCCGCCCAGCAGAGGGCAGTTGCGCCCCGAACGAGCGGCCCCAGCGAACGCGAACGGGGGGGGGTGGCAGGCGGAGGGTGTCATGCTCGTGAAGGGTGCTCTTCTGTCCTAGGGCCGCACGGGGCCAGGACGAGGATGAACCTGTCGGGGGCGGAAAAGAGGGGGGTGATGACTAGGGGGGGGGGGGGATATCATGACGGGGGCCATGAGATTTCCTCAGATTTCATGGCGCCTCTTCTTATTTCATTACGTCCCTGGTCCCCCCGCTGGGCCACGCATGTGCCGGCGGTCATGGTTTGCGCCCCCCCTCTTGGGCACCCCCCTCTTGGCCGCTCCCGAATCTGTTCCAAGGCGTTCCGGATCGCCCTCGGAGCGCTGCGGAACGCTCTGAGAAGGCCGCGGCGCCGGAGAGATCCTCCAGAAGCCGCCGGGTCTCGGTGTGTCTGGCCTCATCCCCACCCGATGTTAGCCTCGTTTTGGTTTCGTATGACGTAGCGATCGTTTGTTTATTCATTGTGTTGCCGATCGGCGCGGGCCCTCGCACCCCCCCTCCCCCCCCCTTCCATGGAGTAGATCTTGGCCGTTTTTGGGCGCCTGTTTCGAGCAGGCGGATGCTCCCCCAGAGGACGCACTGCTGCAGACAGCCGCACTGAGCAGAGGTCCGGAGCCAGCCCCCTTCCGCCTCCCACGATTTCTGAGGGGCAGGGTGGGGTTCACTTCGTTCGGGAGCTCCCGAGCGAAGTGAACCCCACCCTCCCCCTCAGAAATCGTAGGGGGTAGGGGTAGGGTTCGCATGTGGCCCCCCACCAATGTCGAAACGCCGATTGAGAAAGCGCTCGCTTGCCCCTCTTGGAGCAGCGGTCGAGGAGGCGGCGGCGGTGACTGGGCGCGGGTTGCCCACCGCCCCGCGGGCGGCGCCTCCCGTGGCCCCCCCACGCCCCTGCCGCGGAGGCAGCTCCTCGGGGCGCTGGACCACATGCACGGGAAGAGGAGCCCTTCCGCCAGTCAGGATGGAGGAAGGAGGAGGATCACACACAAACACACATCTATCTATCGATCTATCTATCTATATATATATACACATGTGCAACCGCGTACGGGCGATAATGAAACATACTCCCCCCTTTCATCCCCTCTACCTTTATCATCCCCGTTCAACAGGGTTTAGTCCTGGAGAAGGGCGCGAAGGCCGAATTTTCTAATCCACGGGGGAAGTTGCGAAACGAAGTTGCTATCATCTCATGTTGACTAGCAACAGCATCACAACGCGTTGACCATGGACATGGTGGTCTCACCACATCAGCTTCCGCCATCATCCTGATCATCGTCGTCATCATCATCATCATAACTTCACCTAAGCCGCTCGGGCTCGTTCCAGGAGCGACACGGCTTGGCGCATCCGTTTGCCCTTTTCCCAGACAGCGCCCGCCATGGTCCGCCGCTGGTGCCGTGGGGCTGCGCCACCGCTGCCATGAGAAGTGCGATTGCGCTGCAGCTGTTGAGAAGATTCCCGATCCTGACCCACAATGTCGGCAGCTTGCAGAACCTCCGCCTGCAGGAACTCTCCGTCGCCTACTGCAGCATCGCGATCGGCGGGCTCACAGGCACTGGTCGACGACGCCCAGCTGCATTCGCCCAAGGCGACCCCAGGCCTGCACATATTCGTGGGAGCGCCGTCTACCACAACGTGGTACATTTCCCTTGGCAACCAGGAGCTTGCACGAACAAGGGTGTGGGATGCAGTATTTTCCTTGGCGAACGAGTACGTGCTACCGATATATCGGCCATCGAGACTCCACCCGCCATCATCGCAGGCCGTGGCGGCATGGCTGACATCACTAAGGGCCCCTTGCTCCTCCGCGTGATTGTCGCTTATTCCGAGCCTCGGCCCCGCACAGCGCTGGCACGCCCAGGATGGCGCAAAGGTTGTCAGCTGTTGCGAGAATGGATCGACCAGCTTCTACGCAGATGTGTTTTTCGCAGAGTACCGATCATCCAGACTGACGCCAATACGGGCCTTGGCAAGATAGGCAACAAGCAGGTTAACGACGAGTGCATTGGACCTTTCGACAATGGTCACGAGAACGAGAACGGCAAAGCCCTGCACGCACTCATGCAACTGCACTCGATAGGCGCTCTCAACACCCACTACAAGGTGGGGGCCACCTACATAGGACATCACGGGGCGACGACCATCGACTACATTGTCGCTCCAGTATTACTGATTCCAGACGCTACTTGTCGACGTTGGATGGCTTCGGCAAGGCGGACACGAAAGAGCAAGTACTTTTTTGATCACGTCCCGATCGTTGGACACTTTCAGCTCCCTTGCCCTTGGCACGATAGCACCGTGCGGTCATGCTGGAGTTGGCCCACCCTGTGCAGATGCCTTCAGGAAGGACAAGGACGGGAAGGCCTTCTGCAGGATTTTCAGGATAACCTAGAGAAGTACCCGACAGGTACATTCACTTCTTCGTCGCTGTCACCAGGCGAGTCGCTCTCAAGAATTTCGCGTCCAGCCAGGAGCGCCCCGACTGGCGCAGGCAAGCGATGAGGAGGAGACGGACCCTGCTCGCGGAGCTAGGCGCCTCCAAGCGCTCGGCGTTTCGTCGCGACGCCCCCGGCGCTGCTGGCGAGGAGGTGAAGCACTTGACACAACTTCTTCACAAGCACATCCGCAGAGTACGACTACACCAGGACAACGACTTGGACCAGCAGATTTGAGAAGGATAGGCCGAGCGTCGACTCGCTGACATGCACGCAGCCGGTAGACGTCGTGCTCATCGGGGGGTTGGAGTTCGCAGGAGAGATTTTCGTTCATTACCTTCGCGCCAACCATCCGCAGACGCGTGGATTGCTGCTTTAAGCGTTCCAGGATGCGGCGGAGGTTTCAACGCGAGCACGCTCGACGACACCTACCTGGCCACCATGCTCGCCCCGCAGGCCACAAAGCGCGGGGAATGAATGCAACTACCTCCGCGACCTGACGGACCTGGCACCCGCATCGGCGTCCGCGACCTCTTAGCGGGCGACGAGGATTTCAACGCCACCAGGCGCCACCTCTGGAAGATGAAACGCAGAAAGTTCGCACCGTGCCGGAGTTTGCCGACCGAGGTGTATCTGATTATCCCCCCCACCCCCCCCTTCCTCAGCAAGCCTGCCGCCCAGACTGCTGGCCTCGGACTCTTTCAAGCGTTCGACCCGATGGACTTCGAGAAGACGATTGGCCCGACCAAGAGGAAGCTACCATTGGATCATGTCACGAAGCCTGCCAAGATACTCATCGAGATTCACGCGTTGGCAAGGGCATCAATGAGGGCCCCGAGTCAAGCCAACATGAGCCAGTCATTCGCCCTCGATAAGAAGAAAGGACTACCTGGAGTACCTGGCCTTCGCCTACTGCATACATGTTGTCCTTGGTGGCGAGGTTTCTACAGACGCATTGTTAATGCGGAGGGTGGCCCCTTCCGACCGCCCGAGTGGGCATGCGGGGGAGTTCGAATGAGACGACGTGAGGGTATGGTGTGTTTATCGCGGATCGTGGCTCACAGAATCAGAGCATGCAGATGGACTGTCGTAGCGAAATCTTACGACCAAAGATCAGCTTTCCAGAGCGGTAAGCACGGCGACCTGAACCGCGTCGCAGGCGACCGCGCGACCTACTATCACGCGCAGGAAGGCGAACCTGACGAACGACACGACCGCATCCAGACCAATATCGAGTTCCTTCACCAGCGCCGCTCTGAGGCCGTTATGCGCATCTCCACACCGCAGCAGTGGCTTTATCTACGCGCAGGCAGTGGAGGACTCATGGGAGACAGCAGCGAGCCAGAGTTTTTCATGCCAAATTATTACGCCAGCATTGATGAGTATAACGAGCTTACCCGCAGTTTCTCCAAGTTCACATTGGGCCATTGCGATGTGTTCGGCGACGCTGTGAACGTCGGCGTGGGCTTTTTTTTGGCGACCTTCTCAAGTTTCTGGCGCCCGCTCCCGAGACATCCCCAGAGGAGATGCGCAACGCCAGCAACTTGGACGCCGCGTGCTTGGGCGAGAGCGGTGAAGCATGGGAGTGCAAACAGAATCGCACTAAGGCACAGATCGTTGTAGCCGCCTCGATTCGAGGCATTCCACGGGCACTTGTCGCCGACAACGCGATTGCCGGCACGGTTTTACCTCAGCTGAAGCATCTCGGCGGCATGTTCTCCGCCTCAGGCAGCAATGTAGCCGAACGTCATGAAAGATTACGAGCTATCAACCGAGCGTGGAATCAGCTGAGCGGGTTCTGGCACTTCCAAGGCAGGATGGCGCTCTCGCCGCCTTCTGTTCGGAGGATGCGTCCACTGTGCGGCCACGTCTGGCGGCGAGTGTTACATCTACACGAGGGCTGACACCGAGGCCCTCGACACCAGCTTGGCGGGCAAGTTGCGCTCCATGCTCGAAGGCCGCGCACATTCAGAACGACGCGGTGTACATCGGACATGGCCCACCTTGCATGTTTGGAGATACTGGAGATTGGCGCCTGTTGCGCTTGAGCTCACGGTGCGCCGTCTCTGTTGGTGGCGCGACATGATGACTGACATAGAGCAGCACCTTCACTTTTTGACGGGATTCTTCGGTACGCATGCAGTGGAGGGACAGGCAAAGTGCGTTTTGCCCATTTTGACGGAGACCGGAGATATCAACATCGAGAGCAACATCCACTCATGGGCGAAGCAGCTGGCCCGTGACATCGACACTCTCCTCACACTGGATTTGGCCACTGAGCTACGACACGAATGGCAACCTCGTGATTTCCGACGGCTCATGGCAGATCCCGCTCTACGTGACATCTACACTGCCGTGGGCCCCCGCACACTACGAGCGAGTTTCTTTTCGCGTCAATGGTCACCACGCGGTGCTTACTTGGAGGAGTTTCTTCCTACGGAAACTGAGGTGACGGGCGTGGATGACCTACCCGCCTACTTGTGCGAAATTACTTTGGCAGACGGCTCGGTCTGCGGCCGCGCCTTTCCTTCTCTCGCTGCGCTACGCGCGCATCAGACTCACAGCAGGGGGCCATGCCACGCCATGAGGGGCGCGCTCGGCCTTCTGGTCCTTGACAACAAGTGCCTGAGATGTGACGCGGTATTTCGTACCAGAGATCATTGCTCACGCCGTGTGCTGAGGAGTTGGACCACCCGCCGTTGCATTCGGTCCAACACTGCACAGGCGTGGCCGTACCTCCCGCCCGAAAAACTAGAGTGCCCTATATGCCGTGTAGTGGTATCGCGTGATCTCGATCCGGAGGCCCCTTTGGACCCTCAACATGAAGCCTTCGATGCCTCTGGAGCCCCCACGCGGCCCCCATCCTCGTCAACGCGCACACCTATTGCACTAGCGTCGTCGGCACCATCTACTTCACGAGCACGGACGCGCAGCACATCCAGCACACGTGCACGACGAACGGCACCATCACTACCTCAATATATCGAGCAGCGATCGACACAGACCGAGTTCGAGACGACGAGGCCTTCATCTGCGCGACCATTTCGGAGACTACGAGCGAAAACCCGAACCCAGAGAGCGACCACGAATGCGAAATCAGCGTCGTCACCGTTAACTTTTGGCTCAGTGGACGCGTTTCGGCGCCATTTGCTTTCTCATGTACCCGTACCAGTCCACACATCGAACAAACATTGGATTGCGAAGGAGCTTCGACCTGTGCAGAGACGCCCAACCTTGAGCGCACATCGGCCATTACCTACTGCATCGGAGTGTGGCACTCGTCGGGCTCGCGCCAGATCGCAGGTTTTCGCAGCCACTACAACGCGCGCCTCCGATGGGGGCAGCAATTCACCCCCAGGCATCCTCGCCAGAGTCTGGGAGCATTGGCAACGACGGCAAGCGCGGGCCCACAGGTCCAGCAGTTGCCCCGCCAAGGACGAAGCGAGGGGGGCAAGAGCCTCAACCAGGGCGAGAAGAAGCAAATGGCATTCAGGTTCAGGGCAAGGGATTCTGCGAGCCGCCCCCCCCGCTACCCAAGCAGGTGCGGAAGCAGAACCCAGACATGCCACTACCGGGGCCTCTCCATACTCTGATGTTCGGCGTGCTCCTGGTCGGCCTGGCAGAGATGCACGAGGTCGGAAGCGCCAGCGTGGCGCATCTCAAGAAGACGGTGGAGGACTTCAACAGCTGCGAGATGGTCGAGGAGGCGGCGCAGCTCATCCGGGCATGCAGGATCATCAAGACGGCGAAGGAGGTCCAGGCCAAACTCATCTTGGGCGAGAAGCGCTACCCCGTGACCGTCACGCGCCAGCTCGAAGCACGGCATATACGGGGCATGCCTGGATACATGGAGGAGCTACAGGAATGGACTGAATGGTTGGTGAATCAACAGAGCTGACGAGTGAGGCACGTGACACGTGCAGTGAGTGAGTTTTTGGGGCTGACCCGCCTCGTGCACACATCTCTCATCTTGTGTGCGTAATCTTCTTGCCTGTCCTCACGCAGCGGTAGTGGATGACTTATGTTCAGATCTTTGGTCGGCGGCGGTGCGCCCCGCCGATCGCGCGCTGCGCGGGGCAGATTTAGCTGCTCCAGCACGTGCGCGTAGCGCGCGGCGGCATCATGCGCGGTCTCCGCGGGCAGAGGGCTCGACCTCCCCTTTTCCGCTTTCACCCTCCCCTTGAGCCCCGACCCTGTTAATAAAGTAATAACTTCACCTTCCCCGGGAAAATCCATTATTTTCCCCGCCAGACCCCCAAGTTTATTACCCTCCGGGGATTATCATCGCCCGCGCACAGTTATATATACCTATGTATATAGGTCTATGTGGTCATCAGGCATCCGTGTGGACATGCACGAGCTTACATACATACGTATAGCATACAAACATACACGCACATGCATACATTCATACATGCGTACATACAGACATGCATGCATGCATACACACATATACATACGCACATATCGACATACATCCATAGTCATTCATACATACATGAATGCACCCACGCATACACATACATGCATACATACACACTTACGTACATCCGTACATCCGCACACACGCATCCACAGGCATACATACAAACACATCTACACATACATACATACATACACGCATGCATGCACGCATACATATTTACAGGCACACATACATCCATTCATTCATGCATGCATGCATACATACATATACATGTGCATACGTGCATACATACATACACACATACATACATACATACAAACATGCAATTATACAAACACGCATACATACATGCGTACATACATACATACAAACACATTCCTACATACATGCATTCATGCATGCATGCAGACAGGCGCACATGCAGATGTACATGAACGCATGTACACATGCTACCAGACATACAACCTAAATACATATATACATGTTGTACATACAGCCTGGACTTTACATCGGCAGTACTATAGAGGATGCGCGCTCCCAAACACCACTAGCTCCGAGGGGCCCTTGCTTATCTTACTACGCAAGTAGCTGGGAGGATCCAGCGAGGATTTTCCACGTTGCCGCCCGTGGCCGCCTCGCGCGCTGGGATGGCCCAGCGAGGTTTCTCGCCACGTTGCCTGCCTGTTGCCGCCTCGTGGCCGCCTCAGTGCCGCCTCGTGTGCTGGGTGGACCCAGCGAGGTTTCACCACACTGCCGCCCGTTGCCAGTTCGTTGCCGCCCATGATTTCCACCGCGTGTATTGCACCACGTAGGTTACACGACATAGCTTGCATCACATAGCTTACACTGCCACAGCGCAGTAACTTAGTGTTGTAGCTCCACGCTGGCCAACATAGAACATACACCCATTCATCGAGGGGGGAGGGTAGAAGGGAGGAGCAGGAGGAGGAGGTTAAGAGGCAGGAGGAGGTTCACATAGAAGAAAGAGGTTATCATCCCCCTCCCCTCGCAGAGAAGAAGGAGGAGGAGGATAACATACGACAGGCGGCGTTCCGAGGCGGAGACCCTCCACCTGAGTTCCGCGATCCGCCGCCCCGCACAGGAGGAGAGGGTGAGCCCCCGCGATCATCCCTCCGACGCGCTCGCCCCTCCGTCCCCGCGACGGACAGCCCAGATCCCCACCCCCCCGGCGATCCCCCCAACCCGCGTACTCTCCTTTCGGGTGTTGCTGGAAGTACCCCTGGCCCAAGGTGCCCCCAGGATTATCGGGGTTGGCCGGGGCGGCCTCCAGGGCACCCCTCGCGAGGCCCGGAGGACCCAGGGGCTCCAAACTAGAGCGAAAAGCTGGGGGCACCTTGGGCCAGGGGCGCTTCTAGCAACATCCGATCACACATCGTGCTGTCCTGGGTGCCCCTCGGAACGTCGCCCCAGCGCCGGCAGCCAGGATCATGCACCGAGACCTGAAGCCCGCGAACATCTTCGTGTCGCAGGACGACTCGCTCAAGCTCGGCGACCTTGGCCTGGGCAGGCTCCCGCCGACGATGAGGACGTCGGGGATGGCGAGGGTGCGGACACCCATGAAGGACGAACGAAAAACACGCGCACACACTTTTTGGTCGGGGGGTCGAGAGCGGGTCTCTTCGGGTTAAGAGCTAGGCGGGGCGCGCGAAGCACTTCACACGCGCGCGCACGCACCCATGAAGGGGAGCGGATTGGGGCTGTGGAGGCGTGCTGTCGGATGGGGGCCCCCGTTCGAGCGTGGGCCCCCCCCGTGGTCCGGCAGCTCGCACCCCTGCTCATAGCCAGGCCTCGTCCCTCCAGCCCCCTTGTGGGTATGGGGGTGTGTTTTCCTTTCCCCAAATACAGGTGAAGATGAACGGCCATGGAGATCTCAACGAAGACGACGACGTGATGACGATGGCGAGTGCCAGGGGTCCGATGATCATGGCGATGACGATGGTCGTGATGGTTACGACGGTGGTGGCCAATGATGCGTGGGTTGAGGATTGATGTTACCAAGGACGACGACAATTACGACGATACCGGGGTCGAAGTTGGCGGTGTTGACGGTGATGATTCAGATGACGAGGATAGTGAATAGGACGAGGACGATGATGGTTTTGATGACGATGACCGTGTTTATGATTATTGTTCTAGTCATCTAGACGACCGGCATGACGATGGTCTAGTTTGGCCGAGAACGCCTCCAGCCAGATGTCGGATGCGCAAAATTGAAACGCAAGCAGGATGAGGAGGGGAGGACGCCGTCCAGGTTACTGCACAGTTGACGCGAGCAGCTCACTGTCAGACCAAGGAGACCTTCGTTACGCCCACCAGTCTAAATTTTCCCTGCGCCCCTACCGCCCGCCCCTCATGGCCCCACCGCACTTCCCCGTCCTTCCTCGATCCTCCCTCCTCATTCTTCCTCCTTACTCCTACCTTCCTTCCTCTTACCCTCTCCCCCTACTTCTCATCTTCCCCTCTTCCTTTTCCTCCGCCTTCTCCTCCCTGCGCCCCCCCTTTCTCCCCCCCCCCGTTCCTCACCCCTCCTCCCATCGTGCGCCTCCTTCCCATCGCCCCACGAAGATAAGCTTTCACTGATGTGTGAAACGCAGTCTCATGTTTGTATGCTTGTTCACATTGGCTTCTACACGTTTATTGTCCGAGATGTTGTGAAGTTGTGATCGCCTTTTGGGTCGGCATTGCTTTCAGTGTTCTACCAATGAGATATCACCGAGGCGGTGTCGACATATGTTTTTGATTGGTTTAGCTTGCATTGGACGGCGATTCATTTTTACAAGTGTCGCATTAGGAATAAGGAGTATTTTTCGAGCATCATATTTCGGGTGGTCAGCAGCATGTTCGGCGTCTGCGCCAAAACAGCGACCACCACCGTGGAAAAAGACCCCCCAAGACTACGACTCCAGTACAGTCCTCCTTCTTCTCCCCTTTCTCCTCCTCCTCCTCCTCTTCCTCCTCCTATTCCTCCTCCTCCTCTTCCTCCTCCTCCTCCTCCAAAGGAGGGTTGCTTGGGTATCGGTCTTCCTCCCTCTCCCCCTCCCCCTCCTCCCCCCCTCCCCCCATTCCTTACTCCGCCCGCTTTCCTCCTTTTTACGTCTCTCGGCCTGTGGCGACGAGGCGGAAGCGTTCAACCTCCTCCTCGTTCTCCCCCTCCGCGTCCGTTGGGGTCGTCATCCTCCCCCTCCTCGTCCTCCTCCTTGTCCTCCTCCTCGTCCTACTCCTCGTCCTCCTCCTCGTCCTCCTCCTCCTCGTCCTCCCCCTCCTCCTCCTCCTGCTCCTCCTCCTCCTTCTCCTCCTCTAGGGGTCGGGCACCTGGCCCACCGCGCTGGGCATGACCGACCGAAAGGCGCGCCTCCGGCCAGCCAGGCCCCCCCCCCTGCATGCCGTCGGTATCAAGCAGTGGCGAAGCGTCCCGGCTCGCCTATAGCCCAACCAAACAATGTTCTAAGAACCTCTTGTGGTTTGCACGAAATATTCTCAGAACATTTCTGGCGGAGTCTGTCTTGTTTTAACACATCGGGTTTCTGTTCTAAGAACAGTGTTTTTGTTCTTGGAACATTTTTGTGTTCTAAGAACATTTCGTGGTAGGACTATAGGACTGCCGGGACGGTCGGTCCCTGCTCAACGGGATCGCCGGCTCCCGCGAGCCACGCGGGGCCCCTCGCGGAGCCCTGCCACGAGGGAATCCCGCCGTGCGCGTTCCACTGCTCGTGAAGTGCCTACTCGCAAACGTCCGAAACACACATGTCCGGAGCACAAAGGATCATGAATCCCTCGTGGCGGATCCGGGCCATTTGCGAGTTTCTTCTCTGCGAGTCTCGGAACGCTGTTTCCCAGAGTCGGGAGCCGTGAGACGGGGGGTCAGTGCAAACGGGGGTCGGCCTTCGAAGGAGAAATCATTGCATAACAAAACTTTTGGCGCTCCGCGCGGATTTCTGGGATCTGCGCTGGGGCCCCCTGACGGCGCCTCCGGCGCCGCCCCTGGCGCGTCTCGCGCGTGCCAGGGAGGGGGTCCAGCGCGGATCCAAGAAGTCCACGCGGAGCGCCAAACGTTTATGGTTATGGCGTTGTTGTTTTTCTTCTTCTTTATCTTCTTCCTCTTCTTATTCTTCTTCGTCTTCGTCTTCTTCTTCTTCTTCGAGGGGAGTCCAGCGCGAGGAGAGCGTGGTGTGGGGGTCCCCGCGCGCGCGCCCGCCTCCCTCCGGGCCACCCTCGGAGGTTCTTCAGCTCGCACACGCTCGAGGCCTTCTCGAAGGCGCGCGGTCGCGCGCGCCCGCGCGGCGGCCCCACGGCCGCCCTTGCCCGCCCCTCCTCCTCCCCCCTGCCTCCTCCCTCCTCCTCCTCCCTCCTCCTCCTCCTCCCTCCTCCTCCCTCCTCCTCCCTCCTCCTCCTCCTCCCTCCTCCTCCTCCTCCTCCTCCTCCTCCTCCTCCTCCTCCTCCTCCTCCTCCTCCTCCTCCTCCTCCTCCTCCTCCTCCTCCTCCTCCTCCTCCTCCTCCCGTCACCACGCAGCAAAAACCACCCCAACCCAACCCGAAGGCCTCAATTGGCCCTCCACTGCCGGTGGGGGGGGGTCGAGGAAGATTGGGAAACGCATCGAGGAGGATTGGGAAACACATTTGAGGAAGATTCGGGAGCCTTGAGACGGGGGTCAATGCAAACGGGGGTCAGCCAGGGCGCCAGATCTCGCAGGATCCCGCAGAGCCAGGTGTGCACTGGCCCGGGTTTGGGTGCAGGATCCTGCAGGATCCGTCGCGTTGACCCGGGTCCGGGTGCAGGATCTTGCAGGATCTTGCAGGCCTGGCTGACCCGGGTCTGGATTGACCCAGGTCAGGAGATCCCCGAAAGATTGAGAATCACATTTGGGCCCCCACCCCCAACCCGAAATTTGGGTCTTCGGGTGGGGTTGGGGTGGTCTGGTAGGTAGTCCGCCTCGAGGCGCACGGGAACGGCAGCGGGGGGCGACGCAAGCGGCAGCCCCAGAGTTATGGCAAGACGATTCGTGTCGAAGGTATGTTCTTTGTGCGTTCGCTGGGGTCGTTGAGAGTAGCTACAGTCGAAACCAATGGTAAGGATGGGTAACCTTCCCAAATATACCTTTGCATCCGTGCCTCGCTGATCCATCACTCACCAATTTCGATGGCCAGCCCCGCTCGAAATAAGTTTCAACACGGGCGGTCAAGGGGCTTGCATCCTTATTGCGCACATGTATTGTCAGTTCTCACTTGGTAATTACAGGTATTCTTGGATATCCACATCCCGATCTACTTCGAGTGCTTTCCTACTCCAATGCTCGATCTGTGTGTGCTGTTCATTGTCATTCTCTTGGCGGGCCCGAGTCCAATCTGCTTCATCCACCTTGCCACTTCATTAGGGGAACAAAAAATTGCATAAACATAAAAACTCGGAGATCCGCGCGGATTTCTCGGTTCGGCGCTGGACCCCCCTCCCTGGCGCGCGGAGCGCGCCAGGGGCGGCGCCGGAGGCGCCGCGGGGGGGCCCAAGCGCCGATCCGAGGAATCCGCGCGGACCTTCGAGTTTTTACGTTTATGCCACTTCTTGTTCCCTTAATCCACCTTCCTACTTCACGTTTCCAGCTGCTCCTTCCGACCGGCGGGTCTCTGCTGGGCCCCCGCCGGCGGCGCCCGGTGCCGCCCCCCGGCGCCGGCGCCGATCTAAGAAATCTGCGCGCACCTCCGACAGTTTATGGTTATACAGTTCTTCGGAATAGGACCAGGTACCCATGCCGCTGCCTTTCCATTATCTTCGCCTTCTTGGGCCCCGTGTGAGGCCCTTATCTCCACCGCTGGATTCGCCCCAGGAGAGGTCCAGGGAGTAGCGGTACAGTCAACCCGCACAGGAAGGATGATCGATTTCCCAAGGGCACTCTTGCATCCTCGCCTCTTCGGTCATCTTGGGCCAGCCATCAATCATTTTCGAAAGCCGGCCCCGCTCGAAGAGCCTCGGCATGGGCGTCCAAGGCCCTTCCACCCTCATTGCACATCTGTGCTATATGGATTGTCTGTAATGGTGCCAAAATGTGCTTGGGGTTTCTCCACGTGAGCGACGTCGAAAAACGGGGTCGTCTGCGCCAACACTGGCGCGTTAGCTGCCCGCGTGAGGTCGCGCGTAAGCGCCCTCGCCTCAGTGTAGCGTTCCGCGCGGGCGGGCCGCGTGATTCATTACCAGCCTGGAACAGATCCGATCCCTATCCCTAAGCTGGGCATCGCCTCATCACAACGCCAATCTTGGGGACTCCCTTATTTTTTGAGGGCGCATCCCTAAGATTGTCATCGCCTTTTGGCGTGCCAGTCTTAGGGATAGGGATACGTTCGAGGCTGGTAAATTAAGCCGCCGCGTAAGGTCGCGATGCCATATCGCGTAACTCCTCGCCCAGATGGGTTGACTGCACGGGTGCCGAAAGCACCGTGGGGTTGCCCGGCCTCGGGGGCCCGTTGTCGCGCCCCAGGGCCGCCGAGACGACGCCTCCAGGACGGAGGGGGGGCGCCCCCCTCGGGGGGAAGGGGCCGGGTCCTCGCTGGTGCTGCGGGTTGGCACGTCACCTCGTCGGAGGTCTGGGGCGGAGGACAGCGAAAGGTCAGCTGCAGTCAGCGACGAGCCCAGGGGGGAAGCGAGAAGGGGCGCGCTTTCTCAGAAGGCTCGGAGGTCCCGCGGCCTTCTCAGAAGTGTTCTGAGGCTTCCCCGAGGACACAGAAGGCCGATCAGAAGGCGCGAGGGCTTCTGAGAAGCCACGCCGCCTGAGAAGGTCTTCTCCTTCTCACTCCCCCCAAACCTCGTGAACCAACGCAAAGGCATTCCAAGAGCAGACAGACGGAAGACGAGCGACCAGTAAAACAATACAGAAACGCATCCAGGAGCAGAAGTGCACCAAACGACGACATCAGATACGTACCATCCTGGAGCAGCACAAGGACCGCAATCGTATCAGTTCCAACAAGACGAGGAGAAGTTGACGCAAATCACGGAGATGTTTGGCAATGACGGCACCAAGCACACCACCCGCCAATGTATTGTTAATATGTTCGCGACCTTCTGCGAGGAATTGTACAGTTCCATCGACGCCCGCGACGCACCACCAACCACGAACGACGCGTAGCATTGCATTCCACCCTCCACGCCTCAAGAGCTCGAGACAGCAATATCACAACTCAAGCTTGGAAGGTCACCCGACGGCGTGGGGATAAAGGCCGACATTTCAAAAACACCGTGTTCGGAGCTTCAACGTGCACTGTTGCAGCTATACAACGCGATCATTTAACCAAACGCTCCGTCACCATTAAGTTGGCGGAAATCGGTGATCACAGTCATCCCCAAGTCGGATGATCTGACGCTTCCACAAAACTACCGCCCGATATTTCACGATACCCATGCTATACAAGCTTTTTAGTCGTCTTCTATACAACCGACTTTCCCCACGACTCGAGCAGCACCAGCCCGACGACCCAGCGCGCTTCAGTCCTGGGCGCGCCACGACCGACCACCGTTTCACCTTCGACACACTGTGCGGGAACGGGCTTCCGAATGGAACCGAGCTTTGTGGATCGCCGCCGTAGATTCTAAAACAGCGCTTGACGCAGTGGAACCCGGGAGCTGATGGACAGCACTGCGTCGACAGGGAGTTGCACTTGAATGCGGCCACCTATTCTGGCGCTTCTTATCAGGAGGGAAAGAAACACACAGACACAATTAATCGGCGATTTTCCCAGAACATGTGGGAAAATATGGGAGGTGGGGGGGGAAGACAAAAACTCATAAAATATAGGAAAATATGGGGACTAGTTTTATTTGTGTGTATTTATGTGTGTGTGTCCTGGGGCCCCTTCATGAAGCACGACCAGAGGGCCCGTCGTCCGTGCCGACTCCACCAGCAGGCCCTTCAAGCTCCGACGCGGCACGACACAGGGAGACACATCGAGCGCGTTGTTGTTCAACGCTCTCCCGCAGATCGTGCTAGAGCCACTCGTCGGGGATGGCAGCGACGAGGACGAGGAGCCCAAGTGGCACGCGTCGATACATCTATTATCACGAGCATCCGCTTCGCCGACGACATCTTACTGGCGAGCCAGACACTGCCCAATCTGAAGACGCTGGTCGCTGACCTGATCGCAGCGGCAAAACCCCACGGCCTCGAAATGCGCCCGGCCAAGACGAATATCATGGCAAGGCCACGGTTGCAAACATCGACATCGAAGTTGTCCCAGGCAGTGGCAATCTAACGTACTTCGGCTAATCGATCACGTTCCAAAACGGAGATCCAACATCGCATACAGGCTGCGTGGGCATGCTTCACAGAGTACAGACAAGAGCTTACGAGCAAACGTTGCCCACTCAAGTACTGGCTGCGACTCTACCGTGGCACCGTCATACCCACTCTGATGTACGGCGCAGAGACGTGGATTTTACAGCCTTTCAGACAACGGCTGAGCCGCACACAGCGACGGATGGTCAGAACGATCATCGGAACACCGAGAAGGCGCACGAACACACGTCAACGTATCCCACCCCGTCGACGGGCAACCATATCGACCACGAACCCGGCAGCGACCATCACGGCGACTCCAGCGACCACGATGCATCCAGCAACCATCCTACCCCGTCAGAGCGGTCCACTCCGCGTGAAAACACTAGCGACGGCCCCCGCCACGCCCGCGCGCAGACGACGCATGACAACGAGCTGTGGTCCGATGCCATCCGCCGGAGCACGCGCAGAGCCGAGGAGCTCATGAACACACGACATCCCTGACGTGGGACAAATACACCGAAGAAGGGTCTGGCGCTGGGCCGCACGCGTAGCACAGCACCCACCGAACCTATGGACTCAAGCAACATTGAAGTGGAATCCTTCTTTCGACGCGAAAAGGCAGGGTCATCGGAAACATGATGGCCAACAAAAGCGGTGGGAACGACGTTCGAAAGTTCCCCCATGGTCTACATCCGACCACCAATGACACAGCTTCACTGAGCAACGCCAGCGTAGCCGTTCGCCCACCGCAGTATCTCCACTACGACAGCAGCGACATACGATGGTTGACAGTCGCGACGGACACGATGCGGGGGACTCGGGTAAGAACAGTTTCTTTGCAAACACCAGCTGGTTGTGCAACCTTCGACCACCAGCAGCAGCAACGAAACCGAACAACGTCATCAGCAACACCAGTACCACGCACCGACCACCCACCAACAGCAGCAACAAGACACCTACAGACAGCACCGACTCGGCTCCGACCGCCGACACC